CCCTGACAAATACATTAACTCGATGCACAAAGTGAATATAAAAAAAAAACCTCGTTAACGGTACGTGCACCTCGCATCTCAACACAAGTATATACAACAGATGGCACGATGAATAAATGCAATAAATTTATCCGGATTAAAAATTACTCGTCGATATCGATAAGAAATGAAATTCTCTCTGCGAGGCAACCTTCGCCTTTCGTTCACCTAACCTCGTTCCACGGTTACCCTGAACGCGTTTCCATGCGCCGATTCCGTAAGTGCACGCGCGTGGAAAACTTGATTCCCGACAATTTGACTAAGTAACGAAGTTTCGGATCCCCTGTCCATCCAATTCGACGAAATGGAACAGACCAATTCGCACGGTTGTCCTCGGTTTCCTCGCCAAGTGCCTCTGCCTCCCCGTCAGTCAACGATGGCTGGAACAATTAATTTTACGTTGCCCACGTCGGGCCACATCGTTTCTGGGATCCGTGGGACACATAGTCGCGCAGTGACGCATCCTTGACGTGTATTTTTCGAATCGAATGCGATCGAAAAATCGAACTTTATTGACGACACTTTTCGCGCCTCGGTCAAATCGTGCAATCGAAGATTAGGATTTAATTTAATTTATTGTCCCACGATTGCCTGCGAATCTGTGATCAGACGACAAAATTTGATAAATATCGTGTTCTTGCATCGTTTTAAAATCGAGGTACGTGTCCTTTATCCTAAATTAATTTGCAAAAGAATGATCCAGAATCTGAATTCCAGAATCTAATTAATCGCTTTCACCATGAATTAATATGGATTTCATAACGTTTCATTGCTGCACATTCAATCTCGGTGGCTATTATACGAAAAGAAAAAAGAGATAATTTGTTGACCCACAGTGTTCGCATTTGCATGCAGCATAAAAATCATGCAACGTGCAACTTTCAACGCATTAATAAAAGCCGGGGCTAAGAAAGGAGCGCAAAAAGCCCTGATGCATATTCAAGGCGAGAAAGCAGAAGAGGATATATGCATAAAACGCGGCCTGTCCAAGTATATCGTATATAATATCTTTAAAGCTTGTTGAAAATCTTGCTCTAAACGCGTCAAAGAGAGAAAGAGAGAGAGAGAGAGAGAAAAGAATCGAGAAAACGAACGAAGAAAAGAGAGAAAAAATGAAAAATTTCCCGGAGAATCAATTCATAGACGAACGCGTGTTTCTCGCAAATGGCTCGACCGACTTTCCTATTATTGTACCAGAGAATACCCTATCGATTCTGGCGCCACCGATTCGAGTACCACTATCGACACAAATTGTGTACCCAAACAATCTTTGCTTCTGCCAAATTCGATTTAACCTATACCTCACTCACCCTGACGTAACGTTAACACGAGTTAATCGCACTCTCAAGTTCTTTTACGTTTCCAAACGCTCGTTCCTCATTTTCGCCCTCCCTCGTTTCATCGAGATCGACCGGTCGAATTCCTCTTCCTAATTCGATCGTTTCGAATATTTATTATTTCGCAAGTTATTTATATCGATCTAGGAACTAAATCTTAAATTTTATCGAATTTATGCGAATCATTGGTCTCGAATCGATCACGACCAATCGATCGATTTGAATTGTCGAACGGCCATGAAAATAATGCGACTCCGTTGAATTGGCGCGGTGACTGCGCGTGCACATGTTATAACGCGTAACGCGTCGATGCCTCTCATCAATCATACACGCGAAAACGGGTACGAACGGCGATCGAAAAACTGTCACGTCCCGAGGGAAGGTGTAAAAGATGTCGTCGAGAGCGTGGGATATAATAAATTCGATAACAGTTCGATGCATTACATTGACAGGCAGCGAAAAATAGGATGGTTGCCGAGAGATTGGAATACAAAAAAATTGGGTAAATTTTACCTGTATTTTGGCGATCATACGTCTTCCCTCTGTCAGTATTCGTGTTTATAATTTTCATAATATCTTCGAATTATTAATATTTGAATTTATCTCGATTGTTGCTATCTAAATATAAAAAAAAAGAGGTGTTGGTCGGAATTCTTCAGAATCTTTTTTAAGTTAAAATTCGATTCAATTTTTCACAGCACCATTAGTAATTATCATCTATGTATAACTTTCTCTAACAAATTAACATTCTCTCAGGTAATTTTTTTCAAAATTAAAATTCTCTTTCCTCTTCATCCTTCATCTTTCATCTTCTTTTCTCCCAAGAACAAAATTCGTGTACGAAGAAGAAAAAAAGTAGAATCGATAGAAATAGAAATTTCGCGTAACAGGGACAAAGCTATTGTTTGATCGAGAAAAAAGTTTGACTGAAAATTCGATTGCGACGCTCTTCTTCTAGTCTTGCCAAGACCCAAAGCGTCGAGAGATAAAATTCTCCGTCCATTTGCCTGCTCCTTCCACTGTTTACTCTCCTTCTTTTCTTTTTTTTTTTTTCCTTTTTTTTTAGAGAGTTTCACAATGACAAAGAAATTTAATCAACTCGACGTTACCGTTGAGCGTTTTCCGCCAACTTCCTTTTAAAAACCTTTAGAAACTTTTCATCGAGCAAGACCGTGTCCAAATCAAACAAAAGTAACGGATCCCCGGACGACAATGAAGATTATGTTATCGATCGGTGCAAGCCACGTTTCTCTCGTTTCTCCCCGCTAGTTTCTCCACTCTGTAGCGTTAAAAACTCGCATTTCCATGTACGATCCCCGTGAAAACCGGATCATAAAGGAATCCGCTTTTACAAGATGGATCGGAACGTTTGCACCTGACAACATTTTCTTTTCCATCACCACGTGATACATTTTCCACCGACCAACCTGCCTTGTTGATCCTCCTCGCTTCTTCTGGGAACTCTGCCATCACCTCAGCCATTTTCCAACTTTGCAAGAATTAACTTTTACCGCTTTCCAAGTTCGTCTGATGTATTTCGGTGGTGAACATTGTTCTGGATTAACAGTTAATAATTTTGGCGGGAGGATATTTCACGGATATATTATCGCGACTGATTTCAGGTCGTGCATCGCGAGCTTAGTGATCAAGATTCAGGATTTACGGACCACTGCTATCGAATTAGAAATTTACACTCCATTCTGACAGATATATCATATGATTCGCATGTATATATGTATGAAGTCTAGGGAATTGTCGGTGTTTCGTAATACGCATAGTTGTAGCAAATCGAAATGATAATTTAAATTTTAAAATTAAAGATAGTATTCGAAAAGTTTTTGAAAATTCATGAAACAATTGGATAAAGAACATTTCTGCAAACTTTTTTATTTCATTTTCTCGCAATTTTTCAATAATTATGTAAATGGATGTAACTTTCTTGTTACAATGACATATGCATTAATAAAATGATAGAATTTAACATTTTATTAATAAAAATTACTATCTGCTTCAGCTAAGGATTATCGTATTAACAAGAAATTCACAACAATTATTACAATAACAAGCACAACTGGCAATGCCAATAGAATATTTTAATCTTTTCACGAGTCACTGATTCGGACTCATAATCCGACGATCCCACATTTCCGTAATAATTTATGGAATCTCTAAAATATCAGGGGGTTGACAGGGTTCGGAAATGGGATCGTAAATAAGGAAGAAAATTCAATGGTCGATTAGAAAGCGTTCAACTAAGCAAGGTTAATCGTGAGTTACGGAAGTTACGAGATCCGAATTAGGGGCAGGATTCCTGCTGCACGATAGGAATAATGCAAATCGTAATTCAATCTGACTCGGATGAGAGAGAATCGGTGAGAGAACGATTTAACCGATCGACGAAGGTCACGTGCGGTAACGTCCCACATAACCTTTTTGAGAATGGAAACTCTCTCTTTCTCTTTTTCTTCTTCTTCTTCCTCTTCTTCTTCTCTCTCTTTCTTTTCGAAGAATAGTTATCCTAGCAGATGAAGATCAAGTGGAACGATAAATTGTGGGGCAAAGCGTAATTTAACGATTAAAAAATCGAGCGACCTTTATCAAATTATCCGGAGTAATAAAAAAAATTAATATAATTCCATCACGGTGTGCATAATAAAAGTGGAGGAGAGACACTTTTTGATTAATACGTATCGTGTCATAGGTGGAAAAAGTGATGGAAAGAAAAGAGTAATCGTTGCGTCGTAAACGTTCCTGACGCAGGGATAACTTTATGGGAGGGTTTTTCCTTTGGAGGGTTTAGAAGTGTGGACACATTTCTCATGGTTAGCGGGTTTTAGGGTGACAGATGCCTCTCGATCCCCCTCGAAAATGTGGAGAAATGGTGCTGTGCACTTTGCTGCGTGCATTCTGATAGAAGAAATGTAATTTATGGGATGTAAGTTACGCGAAATCGTTGAGACGATCGAGTTATTATTAAGTTAATTAAAAATCCTAGAGCTGGGGAATTGTAAAGTTTTCGGTGGATTTTCTCAGCAGTCTTGAAAGTTTCGCAGGATGCACGATGCAAATAAATCCGTTACTAAATTTCATTATTTTCGTATTCCATTGATTAAATTGTTTGATTCAATGTCACGTGTTGATTTATCGATATCAAATCCGTGTTTAAACACGATTTACCAATTTATCCATATTCGTAATGGAATAATATAAAAATTAACTTTATATTTTATATTTTTAAAAAATATTACCCTCCTCGTATCTCATCAAGTCGATATTCAAGATATAAATAAATGAGAAAGCTTCAAAATTAGATATAAAATTCGCGTCGACGTAAAATAAATCCAGTTATAAAAAGCGTATATGCACGCACACTCGCGCGAAACGAAAGACGTATCGTTCGAAATAAAAATAACTTTTCATTCCAACGCTCTTCGAAATCAAAAAAAAAAAAAAAAATCTTTTCGAATTATCTCACGTTGCAAATGTTGCAATTTTTGTAATTCGACTATAATTCGAACCGATTTCATTTTTGACGAGACGATCGTCGCGTATGCGTACGCGTCTCATCCAACGAAGATACCTTCTTCCTCGACAAGTATACCGTGACTTTCGCTTTTATTGCAGAACGAGGTGGTTGCCGTGGCTCTTGGGGCATTGTTGAGCAAAGGCGAGGAATCGTTCCCAACCGCGAGGTCTCTGTAAGTATCTCTCCTTGCAGATATATCTCGCGTTGAAAGCGAGCTTGCATAAACGAGTGGTAAGATAAAATATACAGGGAAGGGGCAGAGGAGAAAGGTTGATCAAAGGGTTGATAAAATTCTCGTGTCGTCAAACGAAATTGCGCGCGAATAAGAAAAATCGAATTAACATGAATAATGGGGGTTGAAAAGTTTCGAACGGGTTATTGTTATCGAAAGGATAAATTTACGATGAAACATTTATGAGCTATAATGCATATAATGTACGAGCTCGTTTTGTTATTCGAGTGCCGAATTCGTTCAAAAGATATTATCGTGGATGTAAAATATTTATATATAAATATGGAAGATTCGTTATACGCTCTAATTAAGCTAATTGTTGCTCGGAAAAAAAGTAATATTTCGCGTATACGCGTTAACAAACTAAATATCGATCGATTTCTACTGACGCTTTCGACGAAATATAGGAAATGGATTATACGTTTCGATCGAAATATCGTTATCAAATCGTTCGAGCTGATAAATAATTAGGTTAATTGCATCTCGAGAAAAGAACTATGGAGGTCGATTACCTAATGTACGCGGATT